GGACTTAAAAGAGGAGAATTTGGATAAGGATGGCTTATTTCTTTTCTCCCTTTTCCTCTTTCTTCTCCAGCCCGTTTCTGCTCTTCTTGTCTTCCCGCTGCACCCGAAAGAAAAAAGAAAGGGAACCCAGCCATGCCTTGGAAAACCGGTGAGAAAGCTTGATTTTTCCCTTCTTTTCTTGTCCAAGAACCTGATTTGGAACCCAGAAATCTTCCCCCCCTTGCTGGAAAATCCGGATCTGCCTTGCTTTGCTCTGTCCTTCCGCCGGCTGCTCCTGCTTTGTGGGGGCGAATTGCTTTGATTTTCCGGTAAGAACAGCCATGATTTCATCCTTTTAGCTTGATTTAGCTTGGGTTAACTTTGGTTCTCCAATTTTTGGCTAGTCCGTGAGTTTCCCTGCAACTTGCCGCCGGCTTCTTCTTCCCCCTGCAGCTCCGGTTCCTTGCTTGCAAATTCTGGTATGTGGCAGCCCTCCAAGCCCCTGAATTTGTCCATTTATTTGCTTTTAATTGCTGCCCTATTGTGTGTTCGAATTGTGCTAGAAAAATGGGGGAATTCCTGTAACTTTAGGATAAAGTTTAAGTGTTAATTGAAGTGAGATTTATGTGATTGAGTGTTAATTGCTTGTTGTGATTTTTGGAGAGAAAACCCCGTGAGATTAGCTAGTGTTTTGGCCAATTTTGGAAGTGGAGTTACTGTTCACGTCGGAGTTACTGTTCACCGGTTACTGTTCACACCCCGAGGGCCAACATTTAACGGGAATTTAAATAATTAGTTTGTGATATAAGAACGAATTTGGAGATATTTGATAATGTGGAGATTGATAGGAATATCATCGGGATTAAGAGTGATCTTGATGATTTGAGTTTGAATTTGTGGTGATACGATAATTAATTGTGGATATTTTGATTAGGTTCTTGATCGTCCTGTCGGTTTAGTACGTGAATTGAGTGCTCGGTTTTGCAGAGTGAGGTAAGTAAAATTATGGTAACGCCCTTCGACTTTTCAAGCATGTTTTGATTTGTTTTTGAAGCGGTGGCGGAACTAAACCCGTTTTACACAAGTATGATTGATTTGAAGTGAAATGTTTTATGCTTTTCATTAAATTGAGCATGCCTACTTGAAATTTAAGTGATTGTCCTGATGATCTGAAAGTGATTGTGAATTGTGATTTTCCTGTTAACTTCTGCTTGTTTTGTCTCCGATATGGTCATGTTATTCGTGTGCCCGCTAGTGGGAGGTTTATAAACGCTAGCACTTGTCCACATGTTATTGATAGAACCGGTTCGCTCGTGACCCTACTAGTGGGGATTATACACTATTACTCGTGTGCCCGCCAGTGGGAGGTTTATAAACGCTGGCCATGACCTATAGAGGAGACGTCTATTTCGTGCCCGTACTGTATCTGTTTTCGTGATTACACTTGTTGGCATGCTTTAAGTTTGATAAGGGGCACTCCATATTTACTTACTGAGTTTATCTCATAGTTTTCCTTGTCCACCATTTCAGGAAATGAAACTGAGGACGGGGAAACCACGGGAAGTGACGAGTTAGAAAGCTAGCCATTTCGAGATTGATATAGATTTTTAGATATGAATCATGATCTTGTATTTGAAGATTTTATGTTATCGGAGTAAATTTTAAAGATTTGATCTTCAGATTTTGATGGTATCAGAGTGTGATATGATAAGTTCCGAGCCTTGTGCATTTGTGGGACCCGTCTCACGAGTGCACGGCGTCTGTCGCGTCTCGAAATTGGGTTTTGGGGCGTGACAACCGTTGTACCAAACAGGCCCTTAATTATGGGTTCAATAATAAATATCATATTCAATCGAGATAAAGGCGAAGTGGACGGAATACAAGAGATATGCTATAGCCAATGAAAATTGACAAACAAAAAAGGAAAGGAAGAAAACTCACCTACTTATCGAAATGTAGGTAGATAGGTAAGTCCTCTCTTATTGTAAGCCCTAGGTCGTTTGGGAGATGAGGAGCACTCAACACTATTGTTTGACTGGAAAGGAAAACATCCAGCCTTTTCGTCGCTGATGAGATCTAGTGCGATGAGTTTCGAAAGAGGGAAAGGAGAAGCGAATTGGTGAAAAGGGAGAAGGGAGCTTTAGAGGAGAAGAGTACTTATTTTAAGGAAGAGGGTAAAAATTCTTGTTTTTAATGAAATGCATCATTTCGTTAGGTCGTTCGACAATTATTTTTGGTTTAATACCCTTTTTGGTCCCTCTACTATCGAAAAAAGCCATTTTTGGACCCCAAAACCAAAAAAACCCCCTTTTGGGCACTCCCGGTCAAAAAACCCGCCCCTTTTTAAGTCCTCCCATAAAATTTGGCCAAAGGGGCAAAGTAAATAAACGAAAAAACCAATCCCTTTTTTTTTTTATTAAATTACGTGGAAAATCCACGTGGCAAAAATTGATGACATGTTATATTTTTTACCTTTAATTACTGATATACCCTTATCTTTTTCCCCGGCTTCTCCTTCCTCCAGCCTTTTTTTCTTTTTTTCTTTTTTTTTTCTTTTACCTTCAGGCGAACCCAAGAGCTAGGGTTCGCGAGGAACCCAGCTCGCGGGGTTCCCGAGGAACCGAGCTCGCCGGGTTCGCGAGGAACCCAACTCGCTAGGTTTGCTCCATCTGTGAAATCTCCAGGGCTTTCTTAGCCAGGTTTGCTTCTTTCCATGAATAGCCGATTGCATTCTTTCTTATATTTCACATATAATGCATTCATTCAGAATCAGTAACACAGTGCTCAAGAAACTTGTAGATGCAAGAGTTCTGGCAGGATAGATTTTTCTTGAATTCTATTTGAAGCCTCAAAGCCTTAATGTATCTCATATATGCATGTGCAGAGAAAAACTAGCATTGACTATTCCAGGATATTCAAGTGAAGAGCGCAACCAAACAAAATTTGTAAGAATTTCAATTTTCCCTTTCAATAATTTAGTGCAAGGTATGCTTTTTATCTCTAGTTCTATATATTAGGATTTGAACTATAGAGGAAATATGGGCGCAATAGTATGAATTAGCTAATGCTAATTTAAATTTTAAATTTCTTCTTGATATTGATGGATACTTATGTGATGTGTATAATATATAGATTAAATCTTAAGTAACAATATGATAAAATGATTTTTGATATTCTGAGTTTAAATTTTACAGTTATCAAGTGATCTCCACAAGAAGCGTCTTGACATGGTGAGTTTAAATTTTGCAGTTATCCAGGCTCTTGGGTTCGCCTGGAGGTAAAAGAAAAAAAAGGCTGGAGGAAGGAGAAGCTGGGGAAGAAGATGAGGGTATATCAGTAATTAAAAGTAAAAAATTTAACATGTCATCAATTTTTGCCACGTGGATTTTCCATGTAATTTAGTTAAAAAAAGGAATGAGTGTTTCCGTTAATTAACCTACCACATCAGCCAAAATTTAACGGAAAGACTAAAAAGGGACCGGATTTGTGAACAGTAATGACCAAAAAAGGGTTTTTTCCTATAATAGAGGGACCAAAAAGGGTATTAAACCATTATTTTTTACAGGATGACCTATTTTCCATTTTCCTAGTCTAATTTTAGTTTTTACAATAAATAAATTGTTTAAAAATTTAGACTAAACAAATAATCAATTTTGATGTGAATTACACTTTTTTTTTAGCAATGCTTGAAGTATAATCTCATATCATATTGTATATTACATAATATAATATTAAATAAATATATATATAATATCACATATAATTTTAAATAAAAAAATTAATTATAGAACGTAAAATTATGTTGCACATACATTGATATGTGAATCATTTTCCCACTCTTTCTAACGGATTAGGATGAAAGAGACTTTCAATCAAACTAAAATTAAATTTATACTAAGTTTAACAATTATCAAAAGTTTTGCCTTAGATTTTCTACCAAAAATGGGTTGATACAATAACTAATGGAAATGATCACATGACTTATGTTTGTGACTTCTACACGTGAGTCAACAATCTCAATGTTGAATATTGAATGTTGTTTTTGGACTTCGGTAAAATTTGATGCGTGTTCTTTAACTTTGTATTTGGAAAGAGTTGGTGCCATTTTCAAAGGGAATTGGTATTTAATAACATTATGTTTTTCTTGGGATGTAAGACACATATTAACATATCTTTTACATCAATTGATGGTAAAAAAATAAAAGGTTAAAACTCCTTTTTGGTCCCTGAACTATTGTACGGACCCCCGATTTGGTCCCTGAACTAAAAAAATCCCTGATTTGGTCCCTACTGTTTACCATTTTTACCCCGATGTGGTCCTTCCGTTAAAAATCGTCCGTTAACTCACAGATATATCAAAAATTTAAGCCACGTCAGTTGTACACGTGGATAAATGATGACATGGTCATACCCAATGCAAAAACAAAAGTGGGGCCCACCAAATTACAATTTTGCATCATCTTCTTCCTCCAGCATCTTCTTTCTCAAAACTTCCTTCATTCACACAATCAATTCAATCAAATAATCAATTCAATATCCTTCATTCACACAATCAATTCAATCAAACAATCAATTCAATATCGAACCCAACAATTCTTCATCTTAATCAAACAACCAAACCCACAAAAAAAAAACAGAAATTTTTTTGCCCCTAGATTCAAACGAACCCAGCTCTTGGGTTCTCGAAGGAACCCAGTGCCCGGATTCAAGAAGAGACCCAGCGCCTGGGTGCAAACGAAACCCAGGCGCCTGAGTTCGAGAAGAAACCCAGCCCTGGGTTCGCTGGGTTTGTCGAACCCAGGGCTGGGTTCAGCCAACACCAGCCCTGGGTTTGACGAACCCAGCCTTGGGTTCGACCTGGGTTTGTCGAACCCAGGGCTGGGTTCAGCCAACACCAGCCCTAGGTTCGATGAACCCAGGACCCAGCCCTGGGTTTGTCGAACCCAGGGCTGGGTGGGTTC